TATGAACATAATCTTTCAGAAGAATCACAAAATTTAAGAAAGAGTTTACAGGTTCTCAGACAAAATTAACTCATACTGAAAAGGCCTCTTTGCACAAAAATGGCATCAACCAGAACAGTGTCTAGCAAATGGCTTGAGGTAAGACAAAATAACCATGAGTGCCAGTTTTACTACTTCCTCATGGAAAAAGAGGAAGGATGCTAGCACTGAGAATTCTCTTTACAGAGTGGAGGTGCAGTGCCAACTTCACTGCTTTGCCTTCTGTTCCCAAATTTTTGTATTTAAAAATATTTGAAAAACCCACTGGAAACAAGCTTGTTCTTTACAGCTCTTGATTATGTGTGGACACACAGCGAACAAAGTTAGAAAAAATAGATTATAATTGCACAGGGGTGGCTTAAAATTAAAGCAATAAAGTAGCATAGTCTGTGTACGAAGAAGACTAAATAGGCTCGTGTAGATGGAAAAGGGTTGCTTCCTAATAGATTAAGACAAATGTTTCCACAAGGTGGAGGTATATAAGTTCCGTACATCTTCATACTATGTTTAACATATAAGAACAGAGGCTATGTAGCCATTTCTGGCTCAACTGTCAAAAAAAGCCACAGGTCAAAGAGGAATCAAACTGGTTTCAGTACCCACTTTTGGAAAGGGGTAGAAACAAGGAGGAACAGCTTGCACCCCTTGCTGTCTGTCTTCTGCATGCTCAGTATCAGTCCTGCAGTTGGCTGGCACACAAAAAACCATGCCTCAGCCAGCAGGACCACATTGCCTTTTTGCAGTAAGAAAGGAAACATCTGGCAAGCAGAATCTGTAAGAAGTCAGGGGAAGAAAATGAAATACAAAAGTCTTTCTTATACTAGACCTTCTGCCTACTAGAAATATGAGCAGAAGGAGGAATATATGTTGTCTACATGACCCGCAACTTTGAGCAATCTTAATTTGTCATGGAGTTTAAGCCACACAGGAAAGAACTTTATCTTGATACATGGGGCAGAAATGAAACTTATATACACGTGCAGAGATGTATTAAGAAATTATCCAGCATAGCAGTCATGGATCTCTGAATCATAAAGTAAGTTAACAATACAAGTATGAAAAGTGAGCTTTTTTAGGCTATATATTTATTAGAAGCAGTATTAATGTACGAATCCACCTTGGAAGAAAATAAGTGTCCTTGAGATGTTAGATTCTATCAGCCAAATTGAATGTCTGCATCAATGGCTCTCCCTAAAAGTCATAATTAGGTCATTAAAATATATTTAGAAAAATAGCCTGTAAAATAAAGTTAAAAAATACTCACCTTCATTTTATTTCATAGGTCACTGTTATACCATCTAATAAGATAATTAAAAACATGCAAGCAGCTGGTACTGAGGCTAAACAGATTAATGTAATAGTCTGTAGTCATATGTGCTGGCAAGGGGTTCACCTCTTTGGCGAGGAGAAGGTCAGCTGCCCTTGGGAAGGGAGAAGAAAGACAGTATTTCCACTTTCCAGTGGCACTGCATTGCAGATACTGAGACTACAGACCCACGTCTGTTTTTCTTTTCTTTTTAGTGAAGTCCAGCCCATTTGGACATCCAGAAAAGGCTTTCACCATAGCAGTAAAATAACACAGTGGAGCAGAACTCAAATATTTTCCTTAAGTTTCTTATGTTTTAAAGATGAAAGTTACTTTATTTCTAAATCCTCGCTCAAATGTTTCTAATAGAGAACTTCTAATTTTGATGGCATAGTTCTAGGAAATACTTTTCATAATTTCTTATTAGTAAAGCTTCTTCCTAAGTATACAAAGAATACTTCCATCAGAGCCTGAAGACCAACTAGAAAATTCTCTGTGACCTGACAGGACACATTCACAAATTCACAGAATATTTAGAAATACGAGCCAGTCGCATGTGCTTTTCACTTACATTACTTACAGACTTTATAACCTAAAGGGAAATGTCCACTATCTGAACATACACTGCATTAAATCTGTGCCGTGATCAACACAAGCAAGAGTCACAAACTCTAAGGTGACACCATCATATTAAAAATAAAATAATACAAATAGTTCTGGAGCATCATAAATATATCAAAGGATAATGATCTGTCATCCTTTATTAACACATACATACACACTTGGAGTTTTGTACTGGATAGTGTCAAATTGTCCTTTAAAATAGAAAGTGTGGGAATCAAGTAACCTCCCTTGTGGTTTATTTTTCATTGTGGTAAAAACAATACACTTTTAAGAGCATTTTAATAACAAAACATATTCACATTCAAATATTTTTGGAGTTGTATCTTCTCCTAAACAAACTGTAAAGGCCTGCTACTGATAAAACATAAAGCAACTTTTGTTACAGTAAAAAAATTCTGTAGAATTTTGCTTGTATTAGCTCTCTGCATGCATGACATCTACCATGATCTAAAGAGCCATTGCCTCTTTTACGGCAAAAATTCACTAGCCGGTCTTTTAAAAATATGATAGACTGAAAAACGTTGGGTAAACAAGACTATCATCAGTTTTACCAAATTACTAACTTAATGAAACAATATTCCTTTACAATATCCTAAAATAAGTCCAAATCTCTAAGGAGTCCTTAAAGAAATAACAACCATTTACCATCATTACCTTTCAAGGTAGTTTAGGATTCACTTTTCATCTTTCATAAGGTATTGGCTGCTCATTTTTATTTAACATGCAGCCCAAAAATATAACTATCAACACAATATTCAACCCAACCAGCAAATTTACAGCCAGCCTCATTATATGATGGGAGCTACTTGCCACTGAGAAACAAATATTCATTTCACACCTCGAACACTGTAATACTATTTAATAACAGTGCTAGCTTGTCAACTATTGAAAGTCAGAGGTTTCTCTTATATATATATGTATACATATACACCTCCCCAACACACTCTCACATATATATATATTTTGTCCTATTTTGCTTTATCATCTTGCCTCTAATTATATTCTGGCAGTGGTATATGAGACCGCTTTAAAAAAATTAATTAACTTCAGTTTTCTAATTTGGGCTGTAATCCTCTCGGACAGAATATGATTATTATTCAGTGGAACTCGTAGCCAACGTCATATTTATTATGTGCACTTTGGACTAAGGAATATAGAGATACAAAGACCAGTTTTAACCTCCACTTAATTTGTGGAGCATTAAAGATGGCTGAGGATTCACTACAGTTTAAGTGAGTAAATGGTACCATGCTCTGTCCTTGCACTTATTTCTGGCTGTTCATGCTAGCTACGTTACTTGCACTGGCACTGATACCCATCCCAAGCTTTGTCAGAAGGACACTGTGAATGAAATTGTCAGAAAGCTCTCACTACTGAAAATGAACAGGTTGGACTGGGTTAGCTCCCTGGACTAGCTCCCTGAGAGATCATTGCTACTACGTGAAGCAGAGCAGGGGTAGGAAGAAGGGGTCGGACCCCAGCTCCTATTTTTGCCTGTTTTTCAGAGACTGCTTCATGGTCTCTGTATCCACATATGCTTCTCACCTAAAAAACATGAAGATTATTCTGGGTGTTATTTCTGAGCCCTTCTTTCAGCCTATATAGTATGTTGCATGCATTAGAGAAAACGAATATGGCAAGAACCCTGAAATGGATCTGCTAACATATGTTTATCAAAGTCAACATGCCAACTACCCTTGTAGAGTTTTCTATCATCATAAAGTAGGTTTCATTAGAGTCAACCTACTAGGATACAGAAAATTGGAAGGATTCCTAAATCAAACCTTCCCAGTCCCACTCTGTCCCTGACAAAAGACCCTTTTTTCAAACCTTGCTCTCAGTCCATAAGCTTCCTCTGGGTGTCTGAATCGCAGCAAACTCTTTGCTGTTCTCTCTAGGTCCTTACAAAAAGTATTTCTCTTCAACATCTTCAGGACCAGGCTGTTTGCTCCTTGCTCTCCTTGGCAATCTCTTGGTCTCCAGCCTGCAACAGGTTCTCCCTCATTCAGTCCCTCCCTGCCACCCCATGCCTGAAGGCTCCTCATGACCATCACAGCTCACTGCCTGCACCACAGCACAATGCTCCCCACCCAGTCGGCTGGAACTAGGACAAGGCAAACAGGCAGGTTCCTCCTGCCTGCCCACACCTCTTTGAAGTACAGACTCCAGTAGACTACAAACAAAAAAAAGAAAAAGATGCCATCCAATGCAGTTCAGTAAATGATTCCAAACTAATCATGTGGTAAGCTTGTTTTAATTTACCATACTTAAACATCAAAATCAGATGCAATCACTCTGGTTAGCAAAAGTCCTACTATTAATTAACTAGTCACATGGACAGAGTTTTAGCATTTGCAGCAGAGGCAGTACTTTGTGGAGTGAAAGATGAAACTCAACACCTGCTGATTACCTTTCCATGCTTCGCAGTACAAGACACCTCAGGTATGTACCCAAGCAAGACTCAAGCTCAGTGACAGTGCTGCAAAAAGTTACTCAGTATCATGTTTCTTTAACTGGTGTTTACTACCAACAGAATTGAAATATTATTTTTATGTCAAATAACCTCAAATTCAACTAATCCTGGCTTTGGTTTTTGACCTGAAATAATGAGCAAATAGAATTCCATGTCATCCATAGATCCAATTATTCTGGAGAAGACCAGTCCTGAGTTGAATACTTCCATGTTTAGCTTAGTTGCTATGAGTTTAGGTGAGATTTTTTACTTCATTGCATACTTTGGAGAATAAAAAAGAAACAAAAAACAATTTTAAAAATATTTAGGCTTATAAATATCCTGTACTTTCATTAGTTAAGCATTTTGAACAACTTTATAAAAAAAAAAAGTAATCCAGAAAATAACTTTTCAGATCATTCCTTAATTAAATCCTTCATGTTCTTTAGTTCACTGACTGTTTCAATTTCAATTGCACAATCCTCTTAAAGTATAGGACCTGCTATTTTGCTTTAAATAATGCCACTTACTATATTCAAACTTTATAAAATTAGAAAATAAATACAAAAAATTACCAACCTGTATGAAATAAATGTTCCATCAGAATCTGAGGTGTGGTGTGTGCTTCCATTTTCATTTGATCCTCCTAATACAAAAATAAGAGAAAACACCTTTGTTATAAGACAAACCCTGGTAACAACACAGTATTGATGAGAATAGCAACTGATTTTACTACATATGGTAACTTTATTTAAGAAAAAACTCACATAAAACTTACACAGACAAAGCTCAACTTCACATCTTCAAATTCTTGTAGCAGGCAAGAAAGACAATTAGCCTCCATACTGAATTTGGAGTCTGAATGTTCTGAAAATCTGACATCTAATTTCCCTTAGTTGTGATTGAGGCCCTCCTCAAATTATTAAACACAATTTTACAAGTGCAGGGTTACCGAAGGGCACCATATAAATAGATGCATTTGATTTTACTAACATTAAGTCAAAAAACAGAGAAGTTCATCTACTTTGTGATAAATTTTGAGTTGACTGTATGATACCAGATATTTTTTGTCACAGAGCAAGTTCAAAGCTTCTCTGAAACTACCTATTAACATGTCTGCAAAACATCTTGTTTTACATCCTGTGAACTGGTGATACACAGTACAGTGACATTCCTAAAAATCAAGGATTACAAGGAAACTTTCCTCTCTATAATAACTACTTCTATTGAAGGACTGCTAAAAGCCAGGAGTCACATATTTTTCAAAGCAAATTTATTCTCATCCTGTTTTATACTGTTTATTCTTGCTGAACCTGTCATATAGCTTGATTATTCTCCTATGTTCCTGTGTGCTTCCTTAATTCATTTACAGACAGCAACGCACACCTCTGTGTCCTCTGTTCTGCTTACTGAAATCAAGTTCTTTCAGTCTTTTTCCTAAATGAGGCTCCTTATTCCCTGTTTTGCTTAAATCAGTCCTTCTTACACATGGAAAAGAAGGGACAGGAGTTGTAAACAGCACACTGAAAGTTTAGTCAGTTGATTATTTGGACAGTGGTTTTGCTCTCCATCAAAAAAAGTCTCGCTCTACTCTATAGTCACACCACTTGCTCTATATAGTCTATAGTCACACCATATCATCTTGCAGATTTGCAGCCAACCTTAACCAACTTGCCTACACATTTACTCTCCATTTTTATTTACAGAGAAGTTTGGAGTTTACAGTAAAACTTC